TTCCCTTTTAACCCACAATATAGCATATAATTTCATATTTAGATTTACGAGGTGTTATAATCATCATCACAAAGTTCCTTTCTAGGCAAGGCATGGTTAGTCTCATTAAATAAAATATTAATAGACTCTTCAATGACCATTGTTCTCTTATTATAGACTCTATAAGCTCTACTTATAAGTGAATAACCTAGAAATATGCCTTCATCGGCTTTAGATTCAAATTTTCCAAGGTTTTCTTTTTCATTGTTTAAAACAAAACATTTACAACCAAAGACATGAAAATATGAAATGTTGGGTTTTCTTCCTTTGTTTTAGTTCATAGGGTTTTTTTTAAAAAAAAAATAGGTCTAACTAAAGCACGGTTCATAACATAACAAGCGATGCCAACGACTTCCGCCCAAAAGTATTTTGGAAGATCATTTTCATTAAAGTCCATGAGCTGAGGAATCAGAGTTGGCAGTGAAAAGACCTGAACAAATTCAGAAGGGTTAAGTCTTGAGTTGAGAATATAGCCATTTAAAAATCGAATAGTGGATCTGTTCCTTGTGTTAAAAACTGTTTTTATCCATCATATTGTTGTTTCTTAAATATTGTTATCTTGTAGTTATTTCCTTTCATAAATCTTGTGACTATAAAATCAAAACCCCAATGAATCTTGTCATTCCTTCTCACATCAAGAAGAATTTGGTATATAACGATGCGAGGAGTTGTTTGGAGTCAGACTGAACTTACTATCTTTGTGGAATGTTTTCAAGATAGTAGGGAACGAATGACCAAATAGTTCAAATGTTGTGTTTTCTTTTCATATTAATTCTTTGTAAAATAGTTTAAGGTATTATTTAGAGTTTTATTCTCGTGAGAACGATAATCTGGGCATTAATAATCCCATTTATTACTTGATGCGTGCACTTGCGTAAATTTGGTTGATTTCAAGAGAACAAATGTGTTTCTCTTGATGAACTAAGTCAAGGGAACGTCCTTAAAAGAACATCTAAGCAACCAACAAGTTCATTAGGTACCAAGGCATTGTTGGTCTTTGAGTGCCACTCTTGTCTATTAGATGCCATTTGATGATAATAACAACCTTTTGATAAAGTGGGATATGTTGAATAAACAAAAGAGGTGCTGTTGAAATTTATATAAAATGGAAGTTTATGGGTTAACTTTGGGAGAGCATATCTCCCTTCACAGAGGTCCAATAGGGACGTTCCATACATTATTTCGAAGATTGAGATGTCAAATATGTTGTGTCAAAATTTGGTAGACATTGAAGTTATGCGCAGACCTGTAGAAGCATTTGAGTAAGGACTATCCAGAATGCTCTGCAGCAGGGCGCTGTCGGGTGGCAATTTTAGAAAATTTATTTCTCCCTCAATTATTGGTCACATTAGGCCTATGATATGTCAAATTTAAGCTTAAGGTGTCTAGTTTACTGTATAAAAATTTGAGAGCAATTGGTAAAGGGGTTTGTTCAGAATCGCAGAAATGGTGAGGTATGTTTAGTGTCCAGTTTAGGGTTGGCTGGCAGCTTTGCTTGTCCAACTTCAAACGATGATAACGAGAGCAAATGAGAACTTTATGGGGCGAGAGATACCTTGTTGGAAAGATAATTGAGTCTAGAATAACATACTAACATATGAGAGGCTTGTAACAACTAAATCTCTTGCAATGTCCAGATTACTGAACCATGTTCAGTTATGTAAAAACCGTAAAAGTGAGAATTATGCTAAGTGAGTTTATGGGAACCCCTTAGTGACTTAAGATAAGCATAGTGTGATGGTAAAACAATTACTTTAATTATTCTGCATTTAGATTTCAGTTATGATCACAGCTTTTATCATTACATTTTATTATTATTTTTAAATGTTTACGTAATGAAAAGGAAAAAGTTTACTCACATTTTTAACTAAGTTGCTGTGATTGTAACTGCGCTTAATATCATAATCAATGTTAACAATACTGATGTACTTTAATTCACCTCACTTAAAATCACTTAAATTCACCACTAATCTTCCATTAGTTCATGAACTATCCATTAAATCCAAAATTTAATATTCACCAAAGTCCTTTAATTGTCTTTGGACAGATGAATCCGGAGTTTTGTGGTTATTCGATGAAATCACAGTTTTAAATTGTTATGTGCATTGTGGGCACGCTTCCCTAAAATCCTAATTTTAATAAAATTTCTTCAGAAATCATAATTCTTAGTCCTATGTAGCATTTACAACTCATTTCCAAGCCTAGAGCTCAAAATTCATTTGGCACGCTTTTCGGTGCAACTGTACCACTGTATTTTTACCCGGTAAAAACATTGTTCATCAATTTTTCAGAAACTTGTCTAACCACTCAATTTTTCAGAAACTTGTCTAACCACTCAATTTTTCATTCTAAATCTATTTTTAGGGTTAATTTTCCCATTTGAGACCTCCTACTAACATTTTACTATTTAGGGTTACGTATTTGCCAATTTACCGTTTTACCATTTTTACGTATTTTGACCCAAAACTCAGGATTTTCACTAATCCTACCCTTTAATCCTTATTTTAAGTATAATTAAGTGTTTTGAAATTACAAGGTGTTATAGCAGCCTTATCAGGATGGCCCAAAGCTCAGCAAACAGGGGGGAACAAATACCAAATTTATACATAAAGCCAGCATCCACCGTCCTTTGTCATCCCTAAGTAGACCACCACAAGAAGCTGAAACTGGATTCTTCTTCACTACTGCATTGACATTAATTTCCCACCACCCTTGAGGGGGGACTTTCCACCTTTCCACACTATGTTGAACACTGTCTCTTTAAGGAAGAAATTGACAGGCGATAGCTCCTCTAATTTCTCCAATATAACCTTAGGTTATGACTTGAAGTAAATATGGTATGTTGGCACCTGAGCCCTTATACCAGTGTCTAAGGCGTGAACATTAGACTTGAAGTAAATTTTGTATACAGGAACTTGAACCCTTATACCGGTACCTAAGGCTTGAACCTTAGGTCAACAAAGTGATATTAAATTTGCGACATGAAACTTGGATCAGCGACATCTCAAAAGACTCTCAGGTATCTCGCAGAACGACATCAAAATAAATGAAGGTCAACAACACGACATCAAACTCAAACAAGCGACATCCAAACAAAACTTAAAGCGACGACACAAAATTCAGGATATCTTGCAAAACGACACAAAAAAAAAGATCCCGAAGTGAAGCAAACACGTACAAATATAGAAAGGTATGCAAATATATGAATTATGATATGTACATGTAAGGAGCAGGGCATAAATATTGTTGTGAAACACCCAAGCACCTGCAGAATACAAATCATAGTACAAAAAGAAAGCAAAGCGAAATGAATCTTCTAGGATTGATAAACAGACAAATCACCCCTGGAACTTATGCATCTCAATACTCATGCTCTTAGCATAAGCAACGAGCTGGGGGACCTTCTGATTTGGAATGAATATTGAATTACAAGGCCCATATTGAAAGCCTTCACCATTAAAAAAAGGCTCTGTCAACAAAGGCTGCTTGACATGATTGCTTCTACAAACTTCACCTCCAAGGAAAAAGCTTATCTCAGCCACCCACAAAAACCAATTGGAAAGCTTGCCGCCTCACCACTTGCAAGCTGGTCATCTCTTCTCATCTCTCCACCAAGCTGGACATCTATCTACTTAAATATGAATGTGTTAAACCATAGGTACACATATTTTCCTACATGAATAAACCAGCTTACACAAAATCTGACTTGAGCGTCAGAGTGTCTTGCAGGTACCCCCCCCCCCCCCCACATTGTTCCTGTGAAGACCCATGGATTAAAACTGCACCAACTCATTTGTACAGAGGAAGATCACATGATCAAGAAAAATGGTTCTTATGATCTAATAATAATAATAATAATATAATCATTTGCTCTATATCTATCCCCAATCATTGATGGATTTTTTCTTTATTTGTTTGGAACGGATTTTTCCATTAATAGAGATGGATATTTGCAAAGCAAATTTCATTCGTGACATTTGATTTTCTTAAAAATAATTATATTCAAAATTCAATTTTTTCTGGAAACGTAATATTAATTATCATTTAATATTCTTATACCAAATTCAAACGACAAAAAAATATAAAATAACTAATACTGAATGAAAACAAACCACTATAATACAATGTCTTAACGTGAATTCATGAATAATAATAAATGAATAAGCTCCTAATCACATGTAGGTATCATAATTAAGTCTCTAATTGCATTTTCTTAGCATCTTATTTTTTTTATTTGACCCAATAAACATATATTTAATTTAAAAATAGATCCCACATGGTTCGATGAAGTTATGACTATTGTTTTTAAGGAGAATATTTTGGTTTAAACATACCTTGTGCTTATGCATAAATTGAATAAAGTAAAATACTCAACTCCACGTTAATATATATATATATATATATATATATATATATATATATATATATATATATAGGGTAAGGATCATTTTACACCAGTGTAAGTTACACTATTAATCTTGTCCATTGATCTCATTTATATTTAAGGGCTCAAATTTTTTAGTAACGTGAGCCATTGGATACAAGTTGATCAATGGTCAAGATTGAGTGTAAGACTTCTAACTCTTACACCGGTGTAAGAATATCCTGCCCCATATATATATATATATAGGAGCAGAGTATTTTTACACCGGTGTAAGAGTTAGAAGTCTTACACTCAATCATGACTATTGATTCACTTGTATCCAATGGCTCACATTACTAAAAAATTTGAGCCCTTAGATATAAGTGGAATCAGTGGACAAAATTGAGAGTGTAACTTACACTAGTGTAAAATGATCCTAACCCATATATATATATATATATATATACCCCTAAAGATATCATGCAAATTTATTTACAAAAAAAAAAAAAAAAAAGATATCATGCAAATAACATTTTTAATTCTATCTTTCCTCGTATTAGGACATCTTGACATAGATTTACGAGTTGTTAATAATAATCTAAGCAAGCAAAATTTGATCTAGACAAAGGCTATCAGACATTTCACCATTGACAAGCATTCTAAGGCTGGCTTTAAGCGCTGGTATCCCTTCCCCCAAAACAGCACACACCGGAAAGATGGGAACACCGCGGACCCTTCTTTTTAACTCTATATACACTTCATTTGCACCTTCCTCGTCAATCTTATTTGCAACTATCAAGGATGGCCGATTGGATAAACCATCCTGATGGTACTCAAGCTCTATAATTAAGTCATGCAGCTGTTCCCAGGGTGGAATTCCCTTCCTTCCATCTAGTGCAGCAGACAAGTCTACCACATAAGCCAGAACCTTCGTGCGTTCTATGTGGCGCAGAAATGCATGTCCAAGTCCACGATTTTGGTGTGCACCCTTTATAAGTCCAGGAATATCAGCCACGGTTATTGAGAAATCGTCATAGTTCAAATTCCCCAAATTTGGCCTAAGAGTTGTGAACGCATAGTGACCAACGGTAGGCTTAGCCCTTGATATGGCCCCAAGTAAAGTGCTTTTACCAGCATTAGGCATGCCCACAAAGCTCACATCAGCAATGCTCTTGAGTTCTAATATGAGAACAGTCTCAGAACCAGGCAAACCTGCACTCATGGAGGAGTAAAAACTGTCAGAGTCCTGAAGATTAGATATGCGTTTACAGGTCCCTGCCTTCATAGTCATAGGCTTCCTTAAATAATCTTTGGAAATAGACACATTGCCTGGACCACCCTCTCCTCCACAAGCAATGATAATTTGTTGACCTTCTTCTGTCAATTCAAGAACATTGTATAATATCTCTTCTTGCTCTCCTATATCCTCTGTACCAAAATTGGGAGTTCCATTAGAAGTGGAAAGTTGAGAAAATACATTTGTTGATGCAACTTGCCTTGATTTTACAGATTTCTTAACATTTGTTTCAGCAGCTTGTGATGAAGAGCAGCCAGTAAGATGTATTGCTTTGACTTCTTCGCTAATAACATTGGAGGCAGAACCATTGCCAGGGTTAGGAAGATCATCAACGAGTGCACCAGGAATCTCCCAAGGATCTTCATCTGCTGAGGATTGAGTTTTGAATATAGAAGGAATTTCTCCACTAACAAGATGAAGTACAGTGCCGACTGGTACATGGACAACCTATAAAAACATGTGATTTTGGAAACGACTTGCAATTTGTGTGGCAAACATCGTAAATCAAAAGAAAATTTATCAAACATTTTAAAAGCTGAAAGTGAGGGTAAAGACCAATTACCTTATCAGCACCCTTGGTTCCTATCTTATTCTTCGATGATCCTCGTCCTCCTTTCTCTGCTATCTACGAGACACCATTAGTGTCACAGATCTTTTAGACATGATAAATTTCATCATTTCACAGAAATTTGCGAGAAGATTACAAGTGCATACTAGGTGATGCTGCAAACCACTGAAGTCCCAAACTCTGGGTGAGCATTCCAGAATCACGTCACCACCTCTCCCGCCATTTCCACCTAAATTAAACAAAAACATCAAAGTAGCATTGTCATCAGTTTCATCGCATACCATCTGGATTTCTTAACATCAATCTGATAATAGTATTAGAGATAGAAGTAAAGCACATTTCTGACGGCTGAATATTTACATTAGAAGAACAGTTATCAACAAAAGGGCCTAATAATATTAAACACTACTTCAACAACATCATCATCTTTATTCTAAACTAATTGACATCAACCGTCAATGAAACCAAGTAAAAAGCAAGAGCAGATTGAGAAAAAAAGAAATAATAAATAAGAAAAAATATATATACAATAATAATAAAAAAATCAATCATTAAAAATAGAGAAAAAATCTACTTCACAATATTAATAGCTTTTCTCCACTTCGTCCAAAGAGTAGGCTACAAGCTAATCTATTTTTCAATTCTAAGTCTTATTTTAATACTTTCCTAAGTAAGTTTGGTCCAAACTCTTTCTTTCTTTAAGCATGCTCTCTCAGAAGTGAAAATAAATGAATAAATTTTGAATAAACTACAACGGTATACAACTATACATAATAAAGACAAGTAGAGAATGCACCATCAGGTTTGCCCTGGCAATCATGTCGGCTACGGCGAAAGCTGGAGCAACCATGACCTCCATCACCTGCTTTCGCAAATACCTTAAACTTGTCTATCATTCTTCTCTCCTACAAATAAAGACCCCAAACCCCAATGCAGTGCTTAGAAAGAGAAAATAAATCACTATCCAATTTATTTTTTATGCAGTGAGCAAGTTGTAGAAAAAGCGAGTTGGGGATCAACCTGCAAAGGAGCAAGCTTAGACTTCTTGAGAGGAATATCCGAGTAACAAGAATAAAGTGTAATAAACCAACTAGATATACACGTTTGAGTATAAGCTTCTATATGTCGAATGGATCTTGCTTTAAAGACCAACATCTGTGTATGTTCAGTTATCTTTCAATAAAATGTAACTTCTTGGACTGGAACCAAGTCAGTCCTTTGTGTTTTGAAGCTTCACACCTACATAAAGAAATGCACAAAAGAAGATGGAAGATTTATATATAACATCAACACCAAGCATGTTATTTCATATAAAATTAGCCTTTTTTTTATAGGATTTCTCCTTGCGGAGTTTTATCAAGCAAGTGTCATGCATGGCCAGATTTCAAGGCTTCATTTTCTTTTTCTTTGGTTGAATAGATTAGAAAAGTTCTCTTAAAAAATTAGATTATAATACATGAGTCTGAGTGAAGACATTGGACCATCAACATTTTTAAGCACAAATCAACAATTCGGCCAACTCAAAGACAGAGATAAGCAAAATAAAACATATGGAAATGATTGAAGTAGCTTAGAAAACTGAAAATGAAACAACAAATAATGAGTCAAAGAAAATAAAAAGGAAATATAATGCAAAAGCAAGCTTCTATACAATTCGTTGTGAGCGAGGGATAACCAAACCTTAATTCAGCTGGTAAACCACCCGAAAGCTGTGCAGAAAATTCGAAAGTGCCTCCTAACTAGGATTCCGTAGCAGTAGGAGTTACGAGTTGGGTTTCGCCACTTGGCTCTAATTCTCCTGGCTATTGGGCTTAAAGTTTGTAATACTCCACCCCATTAAGCCCTAGTACATGTGGGTCCAAGCCAAAAAACCCACAAACATAAAAGTCTGCATCAGCCAAAAGCCAAGGGTTACGGCGAGGTTGTGGAGAAAAAAACATTTCAAACTTTTCAATTAGAAAATATTTAAAATTATTTTTCAGAAGATGCCCAATAAATAAAAGGAAAATAGTGTTCTCATTTTACCTGAGAAAATTTTTCTCATGTAAAATGAGAAAATTAATTCCCTAAATAAAATGTATGTTTTCTGCATCCACAATCATTCGTGTAAAGTCTAGATCACCTATCAAACATTCAATAGATACTTACTGATTTATTTGTATTGTTTCAATTAAATACCCTTTCCCAAACTATAATTCTGGTAAACATGCAAATGCATTAAATTCGGAATGACACAAAATTCGCACAACTAAAGACCATTTGCCAACAATACAAAGTGGATCGATATGCTGATTTTTAATTGAATGTAGTCATGTAGACTTGCTTTGCATCGGCATAATTACATAATTTCCAGTTCTTCAACAATACACGACACAGTAAAGGGGAATAAAAAGTTCAAGGGGAAATCAAGCAGGCATAATCATGTAATTTAGTTGCAAGTGTCTTGAATTTCAACTCTTTAGCACTGAAATCTGACAAGTGGTGGGAAATCAAGCAGGCATAATCATGTAATTTAGTTGCAAGTGTCTTGAATTTCAACTCTTTAGCACTGAAATCTGACAAGTGGTCTGTACCGTTGGAATCTATAAGCTCACTATGTTCCTTTTAGGGGGGTTGTCACTATATGGATGATACCACTAGCTTAGGTAAAGACCAGGCTAGATGGTATGATTCCAAGTATAACAAGTTAATAACAATAGAGGAATGATGGTTAAATATATGACTTAATAGAAATGGGCATAATAACGATACATAAGATACCCTCTGGTGTGCCCCTGGGGGGCTATTTATAAGAGAAGATTTTGCTTACTGGGTGAAGGTTGGTGGGGAGAAGGTCAACTCTCCTTGGGGTCTCATACCGATGGCAGTGTTGGGCGTGACAGGCGCTGCCATCGTAGCAGCGCTGTGCCTTCTGCATCCGGTGGTGCCAGCGTGGGTTACAGTGGGACAGCTTCCTCTTATGGCATTTGGGCGACTGCTTTCGGTAGTTGAGGTCCCAAGGTAGGATACTTTGGTGTTTAACCTTGGGAAGTTACCACGTTGGCGGGAGTGCGTTGCCCCAGCAAGTAGGGCTGACGTGGAAGCTTGGCGGGTGCTGGGCTTCGACCATTGGGCCTGACTCTTGTTGGGCCATCCAGAACAGGAGCCCCCCAGCTTGGCAGCGAGTGTAGGTTGGTGCCAAGGTGGACACGTTGACAACACCTTGTTTGGCGACACGAAAGTACTGGGCTCTAGTAGTTTGGCGATCTTGGTAACTAGTGTAGGTTGGTGCCAAGGTAGGCAACTTGACAACGCCTTGTTAGGCGATACGAAAGTACTGGGTGGGAGTCGTTCCTTCTGATGACAGCTGTAACATCCTAGTGGTTTGGCGGTGATTGGCTGAGGGTTTTTTAGAAAAAGCTGCCACCTCTGGTATTCTCGGGCTTTCCGGTTTTCGAGGAGCCGTCATGATGAGTTATTCCATCATTGAAATTTATTGCAGGTACCCAAGCGTCACGAGGCACATTGCATTAATGTGACGTGATGGGTGACCTGTCCTTTTAAGGTGACCATTTTGTCGTTCATCACAACCGCTCGTTGCACGATGACTATGTCATCTTACGGTTGGGTGAGGAGGGCTTACACGTGTATGTACGTGACCTTCCTCCTCCTCTTTCTATATAAAGGGGGAAACCCCTCGTTGGGGTCCTTCCTCACGCGAACTGTAAACTTTTGTGCCTCTGCCCTTCTGCTTGTTTCCTATCCTCAGTGAGTGTGATAGTGCCGGTCTTCTTTCTCTCACTTTCTGCAATTTCCCAGGTATAGTGTTTCTTGCTTCTTCCTTCATCATTTCGCTTCTTTGTTTTTGGTTTCCTTCTACGTCTTTTTCTGTTGCGTCGATGGTTAGGTTTACAAAACCCATCCCTGGTCTCATACTTCCTGAGTCGGAAGTGGAAATTAAGGAAGAGGAGTTTGATGAAGCCTTTGAGGCACTGGGAGATAGTGTGGTGGGGCCAGCAATGCAAGAGTATCTTGCTAGTTGCGCCCCAAGTCGTCCTTTAATTCCTGGGGTTGGGAAATTGCCCCATGGCAAAGTACCCGAACGTCTGGGTTTTAGTGAAGAGGAGATCCAAAATCCCCTTCCCGAAAGAGCTTTAAGGCCAGTTCTCCCGTATGTCAGTGAGGCGTCATGTTCTAATTTGCATAGTGGACGCCGTGGAGTGATTGGAGAGGGAAATTCCAGATCTGGGGGGCGTTCGTCTGCCAGGTCTAGGATACGGCGGTTAGGAGCATCAGTTGAGGGGGCCAGCCTTCGTTCTTCACGAAGAAATCATTCTAGGCCTTCTAGGCGCTCACGCGTCTCGAGGGTTGCTTCCCGTCGTCATGTTTCGCGGCGTTATGAACTTGGAGTTGGGCGACTTATTCGGCCCGTATCCAATATCAATCGCCAACCACAAAATCATCCTTTAGAGTATTATTTCAACCCTCGCCCTTCTTCAATTGCCTTTCGCACGTCACACAATCAAATTCCCCCCATCCCCCAATCTTTCCATCTTCGTATGTATAACGAGTCCGCAGAGAACCGGTTAGGTAGATACCACCCAGAGGATGGTCGCCTTATAAGGAATGGCGTGTGGGACGCCATCTTTGAAGACATAGGACTTTATAAGATACCGCCTTCCTGGTGGCCTTCTAATCTGAGCTATTCAGATTTTTATTCTTCAAGTTCCTCAGATACCTCAGATTCTGATGGTGAGTTAACTGTGTTTTGCACTATTTCTTTTTGTTGTGTTTGGCGTGGGGGCGTTGGTGGTGACAGGAGTGTTTGTAAGGCGTGGTGGGGTGTCCAGTTTCTCTTTGTAGTGGTCTTCTGGCGTCAGTGAAGTTTTGAGGATTGACTGTGTGTTTGTCGCTCCCAGGTAGGATTTGAACACTTTTTGACTTATGGTGGTTGCTCAATTGGACGACGGTCTTGAGGCGAGGAATTGGGTTGACTCGGTGGTGGCTACTACTTCTTCAAGTTATGCTGATCGGGACATGTTGTGCCGCCACTATAAATCTGAACTTAGCTTCACCATTACTGAAAATAGTGCATACGAGGCGAAGTGGCAACCGTGCGCGGTCAGTGCTGATCGCCGAGTTTGTGACGCGCCTCACATGGCGGCAAGAGCTTGATGGCGGTTTATGGTGTACAAGACTCATTTCACTGATCAGAAAGTGAGGTTTCCGCTGTCAGAGTTTGAGATAGGGGTATTATCCCACTTACAGGTCGTGCCTTCACAACTACATCCCAACGCTTGGGAGTTTGTTCGAGTGTTTGAGAGCATATGCCGGTAATTTGGTTGGGCGTACTCCGTACGATTGTTCTTTTACTGTTTTCAAGTGTCGTCGTCCAATAAGAAGCTTGGTTGGGTTTCGTTAAAGGCGGGTAATGTGATTGGATCAATCTTTGCCCAGTACGCCAATTCGTATAAGAACTGGACACACACTTTCTTCTGGATTGAACCTGTGTTGGGCGAGGGTGAACTTCCTTTTTTTGTTGACCGGTCGAGTAGGGAGTGTCGATTTCCCCTCTACTGGACTAAGGCCCATTACGAGACGCTTGTTGGTCAGTATTCATTTGCTCTAGGGGCCTTGTCTCCTGAGGAGGTACAGGTGATCGGTTGGTTTGTGGAGGTAAAGGAAGGTCTTGACCAGTGGCCCATGAAGCAAGTGTTGTGCCATGGAGGTGTGGTGGCGCTCTGTGTTGTTTTTTGTTTGTGATGACCTTGACTATTTTCTCTTGCGTTTGTCTTTACCAAAGTGATCTATATTACCCCTGTCTTTACTGCTTGTAGTTGGAAACATGGCGGCAGAGATGTTGAAGCTTGCTCGCGATGCGGCTGCTAAGCTGAAGGCCAAGCAGGGCGTGGCTCCTCAAACTCAGCCCATCCTTCTTTCGAAGAGGAAGGACACGGATAAAGGAAAGGATAAAGAGATCAGGGCTAAGAAGAAGAAAATTCGTTCTGCCGCTGACATCCCTGCTGGGGAGTTGGAGAAACGAGCCAATCGCTCGATTATTAAGGAACCCACTGGCGTGGTGGGCAACTCTTCGGCCAGCGAGTCGACGCTGGGATCCGGATCGTCGGCCCTCGAGGGGTCTAGGTTGAAAAGGGGTGCGAATGCAAGTTTGACACCGCCCCAAGCTTTCAAGGCAGCACGCAACGAATTATCTGGGGGTGGGCAGGGATGGTGCCTGTGAAAGTGACCAGGCGATCAACCATGCTTCTGGCGATAGAGGGGGCGACCATCCTCGCGTGACGTCTGAGACTGAAGATTCTCCTCCCCTTATGCAGAAATTACCGTGGGCAGGGCCCTAAGCTTGTCAGAGAGGGACCTTGTTAATGGATTCCCCAACGTTGGACGTCCTAAGATAGCGGTGCCTGAGCGTCTTGATCGTCAACAATTTATGAATTGCACCCAGGTGGTTATTGGCCGCATCTTAGGGATGCAGGAGATCGCCCTTGCTGTTGACGAACGGTGTTCCCTTCAGGAAGATCGCCTTGCCGATTTAGGGCGACAGGTGGACGGTCTGACCGCTGAGGTTGGGCGTCTTGGTAAAGAAGTTGCTGACAGGAAAGCTTCCAACCAATCTTTGTCTGGGCGGCTGAAGAAGGCAGATGATGAGGTTAAGCGGCTGTCCAACGAGAAGGATGACTTGAGTAAGTCATTGGAAGAAATTAGGAAAGAGAAGGAGGTTCTCCGGACATAAAGGGATCAACTTTCCTCCAACTCGTTTGCTGCACAGGGGAGCCTCCACGCCAAAGATGAGGACTTCAAGAAAGCTGCAGGGCAGGTGGAAAAGTTGGAGGAGGCTTTGGCCAACCTGATGTATCACTCTTTCAACAATGCCCTTCAGCAGGTTTCTGTCAGGTATCCTGATGCTGACTTGACTGGTTTGGATCCTGCTTATGATGTGGAGGATGGCACGATTATCGAGCTCCTGGAGAATGATGTCATAAGAGTGATTGAGGCAGCGCCGGAGACTGATGACGACGAAGGCGCGCGAGGCATGCTTCCAATGACTGATACTGATAGTTATCACGGGCAGGATGATGATGGGCGTGTCATGCAAGCTGAGCCTGTCGCCGAGACGTTGGATGAGCCTGTTTTGGCGGGTGTGGGGGGTGCTGTCTCTGAGCAGATGGTGGGTGTTCAAGCTCAAGCGGTGTTCGCTCCGGCAGTTGAGGAGGACGTGACTGATCAGGCTCAAGATGCTGAGACTGTTACGGCTGATGCTTAGGACTTAGATTTATTTTACCTTTTTTTTGTTGTGGTTGGCATGTAGACCACGAGCTTGTACCTTTATTTCTAAAATATCAATGAATTTCCTTTTCTTTTCCTGCTCTAGCTTCCACATCTTAAGAGTTTTAATTTCCTCTAGTTAGGTGGGTGTTGGCTGGGGTGAGGGCAATCCCAGTCCAACTATGGCGGGGGTGAGGACCATCTCGTTAGTTGGGTGTTGGCTTGTGGTGAGGACCATCCCAGTCTAATTACGGCGGGGGTGAGGACCATCCCACAACTTGTACGTTGGCTGGGGGTGAGGACCGTCCCAGTCCAACTATGGCAGGGGTGAGAACCATCCCGTTAGTTGGGCGTTGGCTGGGGGTGAGGACCATCCCAGTCCAACTACGGCGGGGTGAGAACCATCCCATAACTTGTACGTTGGCTGGGGGTGAGGACCATCCCAGTCCAACTATGGCGGGGGTGAGAACCATCCCGTTAGTTGGGCGTTGGCTGGGGGTAAGGACCATCCCAGTCCAACTACAGCGGGGGTGAAGACCATCCCACAACTTGTAGGTTGGCTGGGGGTGAGGACCGTCCCAGTCCAACGATGGCGGGGGTGAGAACCATCCTGTTAGTTGGGCGTTGGCTGGGGGTGAGGACCATCCCAGTCCAACTATGGCGGGGGTGAGAACCATCCCGTTACTTGTACGTTGGCTGGGGGTGAGGACCGTCCCATAGCTATACTTACAAAACTTCGAACGAAAGAGTAGTTTGACCCAAAATGATTTATTAATTGTTGGCTACCTGCCTCATTAAAAACCTTTCCAAGTAAAACCCAGTGGGATAAAAACTTGGAGAGGAAAAGAGTACAGTGTGAAGGTTACAATGTGATTCAACTGTAGTATCTGGGGAGCTTGTTAGCGTTCCAAGCCCTTGGAATAGGTTTCCCTTCTAATGTTTCCCGGGCGTAAGATCCCCCGCCAAGTACATTTGCTATTCGATACGATCCTTCCCAATTTGGGACGAGCTTGCCATCGCGTGCGTTCTTGTTTCCAATGTCGGCTCGCCTAAGAACGAGGTCAGCAGCTTGAAACTTCCTGAGGATAACTTTTTTGTTGTATCTACTGGCCAACCTCTCTTTCGACCGGCGTTCTGATTGCGTAGCCCGTTCTCAGATTTCCTCAAGCAGATCAAGTGCTTCATTGAGTCCCTGGCTGTTGGTTACTTCTGTTACCTGTTCCTTCTTCCAGGATGGTTCGCCAATCTCTACTGGTATCATTGCCTCCGTGCCGTAAGTCAAGCGGAAAGGGGTTTCTCTGGTGCTCGATTGGGCAGTTGTGCGATATCCCCACAAGAGGCCCTGTAGATTTTCAACCCAAGCTCCTTTATGGGAGACTAGCTTCTTTTTTATTCCTTTGGATAACATCTTGTTGGCTGATTCAACTAACCCATTAGACCGCAGATGTTCTACTGCTGCAAAATGGTGCCGAATTTGTAGGTCGGCCATCAGTTCTCAAAACTTGGAATCAGTGAACTGGGTGCCATTATCAGTAATGACCTCACCTGGAATGCCAAAACGGTAAACGATGTTTCGCCAGAAAAATTTCCTAACCTTCTGGGATGTGATGGTAGCAACTGGCTCAGCTTCTACCCATTTGGTGAAGTAGTCGATGGCGACAATCAGCCATTGCACACGCCCTGTGGCCTTTGGAAATGGTCTAAGAATGTCCATTCCCCATTTGTGAAATGGCCAGGGCGATGTGATCGACATTAACTCCTCTAACGGGGCTTTGTGTATGTCGACAAACCGTTGGCACTTTTCACATTTTTTAACATGGTTATGAGCATCTCGCTCCATGGTTGGCCAGTAGAATCCTGCTCTAAGTGCTTCCCTTGCCAGGGAGTGTCCATCGATGTGGTGGCCGTTGATTCCTTCGTGGATTTCCTCAAGCACGTATTCCACGTTGTCCGAGCTCAAACACTTCAGAAGTGGGGTTGAAAAACCTCTTTTGTATAACTGGCTGTTCATCATGCAGAAGTGGGCACTCCTTCGTACAGTCTTTTTGGCTTCTTTTTCGTCTGGCGGCAGCGTTCCTTCTACCAAGTAGTTTGCGATTGGAGTAAGCCATGAATCCTCGGCGATCGCGCCTTCCGCAACTGTAATACTCATGACGACGCATGGGTTTGGCAGATTATGCTGGATGACAGAACGATTATTACCTGGGCTCTTTGTACTGGCCAATTTTGCGAGGATGTAAGCACGCGTCTTTTCTGCCAGCCTAATGTGTTCAACCTTGACTGTCTTAAAGGTCGACATTATTTCTTTGACTCTTTTTAAGTATTTGCTCATCAGTGGGCCTTTGGCTTGATACTCGCCTGAAATTTGAAAGGTAACTAGCTGTGAATCGCTAAAAACCTTGAGGTGTTGGGCACCCAATTCTCTGGCTTGAAGCAGACCGGCTATCATAGCCTCATATTCAGCCTGGTTGTTGGTTGTGTTGAAATCAAAAGTCAAAGAATGTTCCATCACCACGCCATCTGGATTTTCGACTATCATACCGGCACCTGACCCTTTGGCGTTGGTCGAACCGTCAACATACAGTTTCCACGTCGCCTGGGTTTCACTATTCTGATTTTCCACTGCACCAGCGTGGGTCATCTCTGCTATGAAGTCTGTGAGGGCTTGAGCTTTTATGGAAGCCCTTGGTTCATAACTGATTTGGTATTCCGATAGTTCAATTGCACACGACATCATTCGCCCCGCCAGGTTGGCGAATGGGTTGATTAGTTCTGACGGTGATTGGATGACATTGGAAGTATGGTCGTAGTCTTCGTGCTGCAAAAATGAGCGTGAGGGTAACCTTTTCAATCTGCTGATACCTAAGCTCAGCACCCTATAGCACTTTGCTAACGAAATACACTAGTTTTTGAGCTTCCCCATTTGGCTCTCTGACCAACGCGGCGCTGATGGCCTCCATTTCGACGGCGAGATATAAATACAAAGTCTCTCCATCGTCTGGCTTCGTGAGGACAGGTGATATGCCTCTAGCATATATATGATTTTTAGCCAAAATGAGAAAGAAATCTTGATTAATCTTGGAAAAAAGGGCTAGAATTACTATTAATTTGATAAATCTCAATCAAAGATTGTGCAACTGATTTCCTTCAATTTTGTAGGAAACAGGACAAAAATAGGCACTTTTAGAAGTTCAGGCCAGAGTCCCACGCTAATAGCGTCAAACTACGCTAGTAGCGTGAGAATCCAGAGACATCCACGCTCATGGCGTGAAACTCACGCTAGTAGCGTCAGTCATTATTGCCATCCACGCTCATAGCGTGAGATCCGCGCTAGTAGCGTGAACATCCAGAGACATCCACGCTCATAGCGTGAAACTCACGCTAAGAGCGCCAGATTGCGAAATCACAGCACCGTGTTTTTAAAAGGGCAGTTTTGGAAGATGAAAAGAGGGACTATAAAAAGGATGCTCAGCACAGAATTAGGAATTCTGGACCTAAGGAGACCATCGTGCTTCAGAAGGAGAGCTCCGGAGAGAAATTCTTAATCTTCTTTATTCTTCCATCTACATTCTCAAGTAACATTGAATATTGAATTTATCAGCCATGATAATGGTTGGCTAAGTACTTTTTATTGTAGTTAGGATCACAAAACCTATGTGAACCCTTGTTACGACGAATTGGTTTATTTCTACTCATTTATATAAAGTTCTTTATCTTTACCTTGTGCGACATTTATATTCTCTTTATTAGAATTGATCAATCTGATAGTTGAGGATATTTTGAGGGTTAGAACCCTATATAGGAATATTGGGGTTTTCATCCTGAAAAGGGGGTAGGATAACTGTTCGTATGCATGCTAGGAATATATGTGTATTGAATTGCAGATGTTTGATTATCGTGTTCATTGCTTAATTCTCCTGAGAGGTTGCTAAGGGATTATGATTCCAATTGAGATTAAAGGGTTAAATTGCCAAGGGATTGGAATTTAACTAATTAATTTTATATGATAATTATCTGAGTATTTATATAATTAAATATTTTTAAATCAATCCAAAGTAATAAGTGGGGATCATAAGGTGAGTGCGCTCTGGCTATAATGCTTTTCTCATTTTTATAAATCAAATCATTCTTGTTCTTATTTTTATTCTTCATCACAGAAGAATTACAAAAACAAGTCTTTATTTCAGTTCTCAATTTTACACAACTCGACATTATTTGTCACAAACAAACTCTTCTCAACTTTTCCATTCTTGAAAGGAATATTAATTGATATTCGACCCAATCCCTGTGGAGACGATACTCTACTTACTTTCTATATTACTTGTGCGATCGGTATACTTGCTGGGAAGCATCAATTTTTTGGCGCCATTGCCGGGGATTGGCGTTTCTTATATCAATGAATTTTGATTTTTAAGATTGGATTTTATTTTTATTTTCTTATTTTTTTTTATATTTGAACGGTGCTACTACTCTCTTTTCTGAGTTGTATGCAAGGTAAAGAGCCAAGATTTCCACTTGATTTGGAGATTACCAAGACTGAAAAGAGATACAGAAAACTTGTTCGGCAGAAGCTTGCATTCGACAAGTTAGAAATTATTTCTTAAGAAGCATACACCATGGCAGCAAACGATGAAGCGGACAATCCGCTCATGGATACCATTCTGACTCCATCGTTCAACAGGCCCAATGCGGATATTGTTCAGCCGAATGTTGTCAACAATTGGGAGCTCAAGTCTTCCCTTATTCAATTGGTAGAGAGAGCTCAGTTTGGAGGAGAGAATAGTGAAGATCCTCATAGGTTTATTGACAGATTCTTGATGATCTGTGACTCCAACAAACATCCCCAGGTGTCTAACGATGCAATCCGATTAAGGCTGTTCCCTTTCGCTCTTAAGGGAAAGGCTCTTAGTTGGTTGGAACGACAGCCTGCTGCAAGCATTCCAACCTGGGATGATTTATCACAGAAGTTCTTTGCTCAGTTCTTCTTGATGGAGAAGTACAACCAGATGGTGAATGATATCACCAATTTCACTCAATCTGAGGGTGAATCAATGTGTGAAGCATGGAACCGGTTCAAGGATTTGATGAGAAGGTGTCCTTAGTATAACCTGACTGCTGGTAATCAGGTTAGAATCTTCTTCAATGGTTGCAAACATGAGGTTCAGATGGTGTTGAATGGTGCAACAAGAGGCACTATTAAAACTCTGAGAGCAAACGAGACTCTTGAGCTGATTGAGATGATGGCTGCCAATGAAAACCAAGTGTTGTCAACAAAGCCTAAGAGAGGTACCCTTCAACTGGAAGGTAATGATGCGGTGTTGGCTGAAAACAGTTTGTTTTCTCAGCAGGTAGCAAACTTAACATCAAGGCTTGACAAGATGCAGCTTGCTAGTGTTCAGGCTAAAGCTGCTGCTGTTGTGTGTGAATATTGCCAGGACAATCATGAGTCTAATGAATGCCCTTTGATGCCTTCTGATATTCACCTCAACAAGTACAAGTGAATGGCGTTTGGTATGATCAAAGACCTTCGTCACAAAATACTCCAAGAAATCAGAATTTTCCTTCTGGAAATAGCAATTTTCAGTGGAGAGGTCAAGGAGGTGGTCTTGATTATAGTTCTAACAATTATCTGCAGCCTCCACCAATTCCAGCTAAGGAACCCTCTGATTTGGATAAGCTAGTGGGACAGATGGCTCAACACTCCAATGCCTTTATGGAAGAGACTAGGGCTAATACCAAAAACATGAGAGCTTCTATCAGAAATCTGGAGAATCAAATTGGCCAGTTGGCCAAGCAAATTGCTGATAGAACTCCAGGTACTTTCCCTAGTAACACAGTCACCAATCCAAAGGAAGATTGCATGGCCATCACAATTAGAAGTGGTAAAGTACTTCCATCTCCTGAGATTGAAGAGAAGATGGATACTGCAGGTAAACCTGAAAAAGAAATTGAAAACCTGCTAAAGTTGTGAAGTCTCTGCAGAAAGGTGAAAAAGAAGAGCAACAGATTGTTGCTGAAAAAAAGAAATTTGAATTGAATCCTGATTATGTAAGAGCCATGGCACCCTATCCTGACAGATTCAAGCAGGATGCCTAGAAGCAACAATATGCCAGGTTCCTTGATATATTCAAAAAGCTTCATATCAATCTTCCATTTGCTGAAGCCTAGGCTAATATGCTCAATTATGCCAAGTTTATGAAGGACCTGTTGTCAAGAAAACACAAGCTGCAGAAATGTCAAACGGTGACACTCAGTGAGGAGTGTAGCGCTATCATTACAAAGAAGTTTCCTCCTAAGCGTCATGATCCAGGGAGCTTCAATATTTCTGTTGAAATTGGTAACACCAAAATTGGCAGGGCATTATGTGATCTAGGGGCTAGCATTAATTTGATGCCCCTTTCTGTTTGTAATTCCTTGGGGATCACCGAGTTGAAGCCTACTTTGGCATCTCTTCAACTTGCTGATAAGTCTATAAGGAAGCCTAGTGGAATAATAGAAGATGTTCTTGTGAAGGTGGACAAGTTCATCTTTCCTGCTGATTTTGTGGTGCTGGACATGGAAGGGGAGCTGAGATGCCTCTTTTGCTGGGTAGACCTTTCTTAGCTACATCTCGTGCCATGATTGACGTTGAGAATGAGAAGCTAGAGTTAAGGATGAATGATGAGTCCATTACCATCAATGTATTTGACTCTATGAAACAATCTTCTGGCAAAGGCGATTGTTTTAGACTCGAGCAAGTGGTGAAGGAAGAAAAATCTTCTAGTCAAGAGCTTGATGAAGAACTTGAGGCGCATAAGATTGTTCCTGCTAAGGGAAAAAAGAATGTAGTGTTTGAAGTTCCTGAAAAAGCAGATGATTACAAAGAAGATGGAAGCTTAAAAGTGGAATTGAAGGATCTTCCTCAAACTCTAAAAGATGATGTCAAAGAGGTGAGGACGCTTCAAAGGAGGCGTAATCCTACAAAGAAGAAGGCAATGAGAAAGGAAGTGGTGAAACTCTTTGATACGAGTTGGAAGAGACACCGGGAGCTGAAGTTTGACAAGAGACACCGAGACTCTATCTCTCGGAAAAATCAATGCTTCAAAGAGTTCTTAACATGGCTTCATAGTTTGGAACATATTTGGGAATGGTGGTCTCATACACCAAAGCATCCAGTACCACCGGGACTCTCCATTTGCTGAGTCATCCCACGTTGCTGAAGAGGATGATATGGAGGGTTGATTATATCCCCTTGCTGACAGAGGTTTTGTATATTAGTTTATTTTTCTGTTTTGTATTTTTAGTTACTTTGTGTTAGTATATCTCTCTCTGCTATTTTAACGTGCGCATTATAGTTTATCCTATATGTCACTGTTTGTTCCATTGTGCAGGTTTTTCTTCTTTCTTGTGGTTTAATTATTGCTGAGGACAGCAATTCTCTAAATCTGGGAATGGTAGGCTTGCATCTTAGAACTGCTGCAATTCTTCTAGCAGGGGAGATATTCTAACTCTTTTAATTTTATTAGTTATTTTTGTAGTATTTTGTGTGCCCTTGATTTAAAAAAAAATGATCTGTTTTTCAAGTAATTCTCAGGTTTAAATGTGTTTATCTAGTTAATGTGCTTGACTGAATTCTTGGAAGCATGTTGTATGACTTTCTGGCATGACATTGCATAGATACAATTGGATTACATGATTGCTCGTTTGCCTGAACTGATGTTGTGAAATTCTGATAATATCTGAGGTCAATTTTCT